ATGTATTATATATATATATATATATATATATATATATATATATATATATAAAATAAACGCACAGAAAAAAATTTGTCTTAAGTCAAGGATAGACATTTTTACGTACATGAGCGAGAATATTATAATCTTCTTGGAAGATTTTCAGCCTTGATTCGATTGAATTCGTACTGATGCAAATATCACTTCAAGTACCCAGTTCGAGATTAAAAATCCTCCTAAGAATATTGCAATATTCTTGCCTATGAGAATATCTGTCACTGATTTAAGACTATTTCTTTTTTCTACGTAAAAAAGCTGACGCGCACGAGAAGCGAGAAGATGGTTTCCTGAAAACGTGTCTTGGATGATACCGTAGTTGCAGCGATACTCGGATGTCGCGATTTTGTTCTCCATTAAAAACCCCCTCGATGTTGAGAAGCTTTTTTTGTCGAAGAGTTACAACGTTGACTTTCTTCGAGACGAGCGGCGGTTCAATTAAAGCAAAACTGATCGTAAGGAGATTGAGATTCGCAGTGGACGCGAAACATACTACAACACTACACGAATATTACCGACATGCGCAGAGGACCTTAGGTGATCATTCTCATTTCTTTTTCTCCGCGTATCTTACGTCTCCCCCGCGAACGGAGATCGTAATCTTTCCCCCGCGATTACACAGCTTCGACGCAGCGATTAATCGCTCGCGAATAGTTTTCTTATGGTAATCCACGTTATAATGCTCTCGCCGGGACTCGCATTGTCCATCGCACAATAGCCGTCACCGTAAATTGTCAGACTGGCACACACGTGACCGCAATGCCATCGCGCATATAAACGACGAGCGAGGAATTATTATGCAAAGTTTGCGTGTACACTAACGCGGACGAACGATCGTCCATTCAATTCGACCGTGGTGTAGCGCGCGCGCACACATAATAATAAGCGCCGGCCGGGTATGATCTGCATACAGGTGTATCGGTGGTATCGCTGGATAAATCCCTCGAAGTAAATCACATATCCGCGCGAATCGGGGACAACGTGGAGATTAAGTGCGACGTTACCGGGACACCACCTCCGCCCTTGGTGTGGCGGCGTTACGGCACCGACGTCGAGACCCTGAGCGAGCCGGAGGTAACACTAATCGAACTATATAACGCGACCTTCCCCCCTAGATCATTACTCGCTCTAAGGCGATTACATCCGCAGATCCGCGTCTTCAACGACGGCAGTCTGTATCTGACGAACGTGCAATTGGAACACGCCGGTAATTACACATGTCACGCTCTCAGTAACCAGGACGTGGTGCAGACTCACATGCTCACCGTGTACAGTAAGTTTCCTTCGAGCCGAGATGTTTTCTCGGGAGAAATCGATGCTCTGTGTGTGTTGCAGCCATACCCGAGGTCCAGGTGACGCCGCAGTTCCAGTCGAAACGGCCGAAGAGGACGGCGAGAATGAGGTGCCACGTGGTGGGCGAGCCTCTCCCACGAGTACGATGGCTGAAGAACGACAGGCCTCTGAGCGAGGATCCGCCGGATAAGTACGAGGTAGTGGGGAACGGCACCAAGTTGCTGATCAGGAAGGTCGATTACGCCGACACCGGGGCCTACATGTGCGAAGCTACCAGCGCCGGAGGACTAACGAGGGATATTAGCAGCTTGGTCATCCAGGAACAACCTACGCCGAGTAAGAGCCGCTCGTCACGCATTAAGTGGTCGTTGATGATAGGTTACATAGCTCTCGACTATCTTATCATCGTGATCTTTATATTTACCGTCTCACCTTTAACCCGCGATTAAACTCGCTGCGCTTTTACGGTCTCGCAGTCGCAACCGAGGAGGAACGCAGATTCTTCTCCTTCCACGAGTGGGGTATCTTGGTGTACGAACCGTCCACGTGTCACGCGTTACACGAGATTCGATCCACGGACATCATACCCGGTACCCAGGTGCGAAGTCACGGTTACCTACTTTGTCCCCTCCTTCGCGACATTACTCTCGAGTCGATTATTTTCTCCCTTGGCACATTTTCAGGAATACGTTTGCGGGCCGAAAAATGTCCCGTGTTCTTGGGGACGTGCCATAAATATCGCCAATCGATACGTATACGTCAGCCAACCGGATAAAGATCGCGTGCTGGTGATCAGCGAGGTGCAGATGATGATAATCGATGTGCGTGTCGTCCTTCTGTCAACAACGTCGATACGTTGCCTATACTAATAATTTCACTGATCACGGCTATCCAGGTGGTGGCTACGGACAAGAATCCCGTGGACCTTTGGTACGTGAAGAATCTCGACTACGTCTGGATATTGAACTGGAGGAGCGAGATGGACGTGGGCATCAAGACCGTGCAAGTGATCAAGGAGGCCGCCCAACGAAAGAAACACCACACCGTGCGGCCGGAGCCTATTGATGCGCAATTCGATCTCGTGAAAGGCCTATACATTCCGCAGCAAAGTGTACGCTTCCTCTTTCATCTTTCCCATGGATAGAGACTATAAAAAGCAGCGAAGCTCCTTACGGGCCACCCCTCAACTTTGATGTTACCAAGTAACACAATATATCCGAATAATTGCGATAACACGCACTTATAAAATTGGTTATTCCGTAGGATACAGAGCACACGTTCAAGTACGGTTACGTCACCCATACGAACCAACATGGAATGTACAAACTCGACCTAGCCAATATGAGATACACTCGCACCGTCAACCTGGCCGACTACAATTGCGTACCGGCGAGCATAGAATTTTCCGATCTATGTACGTACAACAGATATCACTTCGATATGTTCTTCTCTACTTTCTCTGAAATCTGCTCAACGATGGCTTCCCTTCCGTTTCAGACGGCTTTGTGATACTAGAATGCGAAGAGCTGATTACCGGACACCCGACCGGCCAAATGCTGCTGGATTACCTCACTGACAGTGTTCTCGCCCACAAACCGAATATCTTAGGGAAACCAGCGGTCTCTCCCGACTCCAGATATCTGGTCACTCTTGATAAACAGGACACCGGTGTGACCCTCGTGGTGCAGGAGATACTACGTAATATACGTCAACTATATGCTTTGAGATTCCTCAAACAGTACAGTGGAAAGAGCCTTTCTTTACGTTCACATTGTTGCAGCGGGCGGATTAAAATTCGCATTCGACGTGAAAACAACGTTGAATATCAGCGATATCGCTTTCTATCCGTCGCAGACGACACACAGTTACGACATATACGCCTCGTCGATAGATAAAGAAGACATCCTCTTTCTGGACTTAACCACTGGTGAGACCAATTTCCCAACCTGCGTAAGATAAACGTTTTGATATATATTTCACTGATATTTTACCGTCGAGGCGCGCCCTTTTTGTGAAGTTTACTTCTAGTTTCGTACAGCCCGAACTAATAGCGCGTCTCTCCGTTACAGGTAAAGTGGAAATGATAACGGGCGTGGGAAAGGCGACACCACCACACCTCACCAAGTGGGGCAACCCAAACAGACCGATAATACAAAGCGGTATATTCGGTCGATATATGGTAAGCCCCTCCAACCAGGCACTCTTTGTTCTTAACGGGGAGACCCGTACGGTGAATTGCGAGATCGGTGGCCTTATACATCCCGGCGCGATTGTCTGGTTCACAGTTTCGCTACGTTAACGAACGTAGCCGCGCGACGACGACAATACAAGACGTACGTATTATTATAAATTGAGTATATAGGGTACCAAAACCAATATCGAGGAATTTTAGACGAAGTTAAATGGGTAAATCGGTGCGCGCTCGAACCTCATGAATGCCTTTGCCTTCTAGTCCTTTAATCTTCTGGTCAATTTTTAAAGTGTTAATTTTAGTGTTATTTTAATTATTTTCAGAATTATTTTTAATGTTGTTTAAGTTATTTTTAGAATGTTTTTATGTATCGCGTCTTTCTGTGATTTAAGAAAAGGAGACAACGCAATTTCGAAGCAGCAAATATAGCAACAGTGATATCGATGAAAGATATACAGAACGTTTTGTACTTCGCAAAAATCAGTAGTTAATAAAAAAATTCCTCAGAAATCTGCTATTAAATTAACACGAGAAGCAATTCTTAATAACGTTGTATTCAGAATTATATCAATACCGACGAAATGATTGAGGTTGAGAACATAAAAGCTGCTATATTTACATATGCATTGTTAATTCGTAATGAATTAATTAATATTTATTGTAATTATTACAGTAGTGACATATTCGCTCTGCAAATGCTTATTTATAAAAAAAAACCCGAAGACATTTGTCAATTCGAGCGTGTAACAAGCGATGAGAGAAAAGAGGAAAAACGAAAAAAAAAATAAAAAGAAAGCAAACGTGACGAAGAGAGATGGCCATAATAAAGAAACGAGAATAATAATGATAAATTAATATACATAACATAAACATGGAAATGTTAACAAGCTATTATTAAATGTACGACGAAATGAGTATATCGATTAAAGCGGATACATCAGCGAATGAATGGTTAAAAAAAAACTTATCGGACAACTTGAATCTTTTCTTAAATATTAAACTTCTCGTATAAATTACTTTGAGATAACAGAAGTATCGGAAATGAATCTAGATCCTTCAAAACAAGGTGACGCGTCATTCGTTGATACATCTACCCAAGCGATAATATTGAATTCGGTTGGATATACTAACGTGTACTGAAGATCATATATAAATTGGCATAAAAGCATATGCTGGCGATTTCAAAGGATCAAGTATATGTATCCTGTTAAATTTGCGTATCGAAGTATTTGCTAAATCCGTTAGTAAGTCTAACCGAATTCGCTAGTGAAGAGATTAGAAAAATGGTCAGAAACGCTAGATTCTTCTTACGACTCGAGGAAACTGCTATAGCGTGTGACGGTGGTAGCATTCTTTTATACCAAATAGCAAATTCTTGGAATCTTCGAATCGGTTTTGTAACGTTTTGTCTAGCTGAGACGTTCGAATGGCGATATTGATGAAGCATATGCGATATCAGGTTTACGATGTAACGTGTTATGTAGCGTGTATATATAGATACATTCGGCAAATTCGTAGCAATTCGAAAGCGCGCGTGAAAACGTCAGTATTACGCCGATTTTTGCGCTGATGCGAGCGATCGTACGTTGGACTGCGATTAGTGTCTTGTAATAAAAAATTGCAATACGGTTAATTAATTTAATAAATAACCTGTAAACCTATAATCAGTTGTGTTTTCTATAAAAAATATATGTGTGTACGTTTCGTATTTGAATAGTTGATATCTCATTGAGTTGTACCTGCGACCTTTCGATTTTTTATTTATACTGGTAGCGACTCATATCGGAGATGATGGGAATTAACAGAAAACTGGTATAAGCATAAAAAGCCGGAAACAATGAATCATTAAAGCTCGTATCTAGACTACGGATTGGAGATTGAGATTGAATTGAATTTGGCCAATCAGTGCAGTGTTAACTAAACTCAAGTTTTAGTGAAATTTAGTGAACTTTGCACTGATTCGTCAGTTTTCAATTCAATATTAATCTCCAATTCATAGTCTGATACAAGCTGAGACTTTCATTTCTACAGTACCTAATATTTTCTCTTCATACCTTGACGGAAAAACAGAAAAACAACAGCCAATCAGAACTCGCGCTGTTAGTCGACAGTTTCTGCTTTATCTACTGCTTACTACCAGCGCGAGTTCCGATTGGCTGCTGCTTCTTTACTTTTCTGTCAAGATGTGAATTCTACCCGATACAATGGCAGCGTTTCCAAGTATTTTAGTTATATTATGACGTCATTATGTAGCTAGAATGCTTTTGAAGCAATTTAGGGATCCTATCCTAGTTCTTTTACTCAGATCCGGCCTTTCTAGTGTCGTGTGCGACGGCTCTTGTGCTCCGATTACATTCAAATACCGTACAAATTATACGGTAAATGTCGGGATAAGCTGTTTTATAGTAAAAAATAAATTTGTCTTTGACGCGTAACGAAGTATCTCAAGTTGTTACGCGCGATTTAATTTTAAAATTGTGCGAGACGCTGATTTAACCTCACTTATTTCGTAATTCCGCAATAACTTTCACGAGTGTTTTTGAATAAGATATGCATGTTTATATAATGCGTCTTATAAGATATGTGTTTCTGATATACATTAAATAATACTTTCATTTAATTGTCAGTGACATTATTCTGTAGCTTATTTTTTTTACTATATTTTTGAGGTTAACCTCGAGGCTGATGCAAGCGAACTAAAAACGAATATGTAATCATTTCCTGATTATCGATGACTCGTGGCAACTTATTAATATATTATCTGAATAATTTTTTATAAATGGTTAAAAATAAATTAATATCCATATTATTTGCAACAGATTTCTAAGATATGGAAGAATATGCAAGAGAGCCGTGCCCTTGGCGGATTGTGGATGATTGCGGAGGTGCCTTCACTATGGGTGCCATAGGCGGTGCAATTTTTCAAAGCATCAAAGGTTTCCGTAACGCTCCCAGCGGTTGGTCGCAACGTTTTCGCGGCAGTGTCTTGGCAGTGAGGCAACGAGCACCCATTGTTGCTGGAAATTTTGCCGTATGGGGCGGGATGTTCTCCACGATCGACTGCACACTGGTACACTTCAGGCAGAAGGAAGATCCTTGGAATTCTATCATCAGCGGAGCGGCAACCGGTGGGATTTTAGCAGCAAGAAACGGTCTGCCAGCAATGGCAGGCAGTGCAATCATTGGTGGTGTGCTATTAGCTTTGATTGAGGGTGTGGGAATCTTCATCACGCGTCTCTCTGCCGAACAATTTAAACCATCATCGCTCGATGATCCGTCGCACCTTGCTCAATCGCCACAAGGTTATCCGTCATAATATTCGACTGCATTGTTTAGGTTTTTTTTGAAGTTAGAATAAAATTTCCAAGTAACCACGTTAGGCAAGCTTGACTATTAGAATATATATATATATATATATTTTTGTCTTGTTTTACCAGCATTAAATTTGTATGCAATACAGACAGACTATAGAATTAAAGACATACATATTTTTCATTCTTGTGTTCTTTTAAATTATGTAGGATGCCAAACATAATATCTTGTAAGAACGTATATTGTAAATATTTACAAAGTGCGAGGAAAGTTAATGAATAACATGAATATCATATGACATTACAGTACAATTATTATAAGTTTATTTCAACACCCTTGTACAAATAAATTAACATTATATCCTAACAAGGTATGTAAATCTAGAAGATTTAGTTTTTTTGCATGGTATCAATCGTTAAATATAATTGTGGTGTTAATTATTATTGGTATAATTATATTAGTAATTTATAAAATCAAATTTCTTTAATATCATCTTTTCATCTTCAGACGTTTCATCGTCTTCAATTTCTTCCTCAAAGTGATTTATCGATGCTGGTACAGACAAGTCCAACTGTTGATCGTTTAGATCTTGCGAATTAATATCACTCGTTCCTGGCTCAACTTTCACACTGTTATTTTTTTCCAACGAATCTGACAATAAATTTTCATCCATAGATTGCTTTAGATCTGTGCCGAGCAGAGTATTTCTCAAATGCAATCGTTCAACCTATAATATTGATATTCAACACGTTTTCTTCGTGTAAAAATCGCAAATTAAAGTATTTGATTTAATCACATGTATAGCTTACATTTGTGAACAGCGTACCTGCAATGCAATTATTTGTTTCTCGATTTTCGATAATATGTCACTCAGGAATTCTTTTTGTTTTATCAACCGCTCACGATAATGCTGCAACTCTTGCGAAGAAAATCTTCCTTCCTTGTTCATCGTTATAGATTTTTCCGTTTAGTAATTTACATTTTATACATCAAATACTACTGCAGAAAACACTCCTATCCTTCTTTTTGGCTTAGTTGAGGTTGCGGTGCACAAAACAAAACACGGTCAGTTGATAAGGCTGTTTTCTATCGTTGCGATTTCTGAACTAACCACAGTCGCTGATATACTGTCGTAAATACGTTGGATGATTTTCAGCAACGCGAACACAGAGCCGTTGTATTGCCTACTGTATCGTCTTAAAGCTGGTATTGCATGTGTCCCCGACATTTTCTCTAGACACCCTAGAAGTTCTCTATCCAACAGCCAATTGGCACATTCAACAAACTCGTCGTACGACATATGTGATACCAGGATGAGGGCGTTGATGTTGAATAAATCTTTAAGCGGGGTAATAGAAGAGCACCTATATTATCGACCGTTCTTAGTTATCCGATGTAGATAAAGATATTATGAACATTTAACGTGTGTATGGTTTAATTTTATAATTTACAATTATCCTAATGTATAGGTCTACGATGAAATATATTACATATTTTTGTAAAACATCATTTTTGTGGTTATTATAAGTGCTGATTTGATACGAACTTTACCGGCAGAAGATTATCAAATCACAAACTTTTTTGTTAAAGTAAAATTCTTAAGAAGAAGGTATTAATTATGACACAATTTAAATTAGGGTAAGACTGAATACGAATAAACAGTATAAATTAGTACAATAATATTTTATTCTTTCTACAGAGGTCTACATGGCATTATGGCTAATGACACTTTATCATAATAGGAATGTTTTTAGGTACAGAGCATTCGAATGGACCACCATGTAACTCACGTAAATATGTACGTTCATACTAATTTGTAAATTTATAAACGTGCGAATTAGTTCGAGTAGGATACGAAAACATCAGCTCAGCTGGAGAATTCCATTGTAATTATGTTATCCATTGCTTCCGTAAGATTTTCTTGGTAAAGCTTGAAATAAGAATTTTCTAGCAACCCGGTTTTGGTATTTCGGTTTATATCGGGTTTACGCGCATTGATTAGCTTTTATTGGCCCAGTAGTTTACGTAGGGTATTATTTACATATAAATACATGCATACTTGGGCGAGGATTAGATCTACACTTGTCAGATTATCACCGTCAGAGAGAGATACAAACTACTCGCGAAATCTCGTGGTTATCAGGGTTACTCTATTATTGTGTGTTTTATCATACACGTTAAGATAAATGTTATAAGGACGGTTGGACCAACTTGCTGCTTCTGGATTGATCCAGAGTTTCACTGGTATGTGTAATAACTCGAATAATCAAGATTTTACCATTAATCTTTCCTTTCAAATTGATAATCAAGTTGGCGCAATGTGTCCTTTATTATGTCTCCAACGACGATATTTTAACGTTTACGGGTCGTCTCGTGGAATATAGAACTAGGTCCGTATTGTCGAGCTTAATCTCGAGCAGAACGCCGTTGTGGACGTTGCGTTTTTTTATAATTGTTCCTTCAGAAATCAAGTATCCATGCATTTTGCCGTCGCATCAAAGGCTGTTCACGATAAGGTTAGCGAACATATTCCGAGCCACTGATAATGCTGTTTATCGCTACAATGTATGAATTCGTTTACATGAACTGCTGTGTTTAAGCAAAACGCGATCCGCATGCTTGCGACGGTACGAGCTTCGGCTTGGTGAAAATTGCAAACGCGCGCAGGGTTCGGCTTGAGATTAGGCTCTAAGTTCGGCTCGAGGTTTGGCTTGTTAATGTGAGCCCAGTTTAAGACAAACTCGATGTTTATTCGCAAAGGTCGTAGCAGGAATTTGGGCGGCTGCTAGGGGCTCAAAGAATGCGGAAACAGAAAAGAGGCGAAGGTATCGTTAGCAGTGATATTTTGCGCTGCTTTAGCGATGTTTATTGGTATTTGAAATTATCGAGGAATATATCACCCCTGCGGTAATTACAGCAATGTAGTTGACGTTACGAATCGCGATATTCCTACAATTCCGGTAATATCGGAACTGGGGATCGGAACGTGGAAAATATTTTGGCCACGGATGACAGTATTAATATTTACTATAGCTCCATTTATTCGCGTTACTATTGTGCAAATTACTTGGTATAGATAAAGTTAACCCTTCCAGTCCGTTCGATCTCTTTATTGGTGTGTTTCACAATTCTCTTAGTATAGTTTTAAAAATTAAAAAGATTGTGAGAAACATGTATTTTATCAACTTTAATATTTGTATGTTGGGGTAGTTTCTTTTTATTATTCAGTAGATTATTAATAATGTACCTGTATGTAAAGAATATCTATTGTACTTATTTGTAGCGTATGTTTTCTAAATATTGCATACTGATAAAGGGAGACTTAAACTGGTTTCTTGAAAAGAATTGATAATTGACGTGTGATTTGTAACATATAAAAGGTACTGAAAGGGTTAAAGATTAAATGCACTTCGGATGAGAAGACTCGAATGCTGTCATTTTGCTTTTAACGCGACGCAACTCGTTTCATTTACTGCGCTACTTGGATAAGCAATTCACTTACGAATGTATGTTCAAATAAAACGGAATAGTTGCATTGAGCAGATAATAAGGAAAAATCACGCGTTAATTATATACGTTATCGATAAAATATATCGTTGACATTTGAGACCAGCTCGAATTTAAATTGTAATCGCTGCATTTTATTAATGCAAACATCGGTATAGCTCGGATGAACAGTAGTGAAACATTGAAATTTTTTGGGAGGAAATTAACTAAACGTAAACGTTTTCCAATCTTATCGGTACTTAAATTTATAAATATAAATATCGCTATATGAACTCTGAGGTATATGGTAACCTTGGAATTTGGGGTAGAAACTGAATTCAAATTTATATACTTTCACACAGGACTTACTGGGGGAAAAAAACTAGAAGCAACGTGAGCAAAGAATAAATAATATACACGAAGTCAATATACACGATCTATCCGAACCTCTTAGCGCTAATCGAAGGGAATTCAGGACGGAAAATCATCGACGCCCCAAAATGTAATATGATACGATGTAAAATCGATATTAAATCGTTATCGAAGCTACATGCCACTTTCGAATCCGTGAGATATGGTGGTGATTAGAGCGACCAATGTCACGTTCTACGGTTTAGAAATAGGAAGATAGACGTGTGTTTTCCCTATGTATACGTTCTCTACTTCCAAGCACAGAATGACATTATCTCAAAGTATTACAGTCACGACGCGGCTGGGAGAATAACGGACATTTCTTCGTGAGTTCTTCCGTGGCTGCGGTGAGTTCTCGCGCGATTCGTCACTCGAAATTTCGTCCCCCGTGGGGAACCTACCAGTCGTCGAATCGCAAACCGTAATGTTTGTCGTTACTGTAACAAAAGTCACGTCAATCCTTGGAAGACGGCGGGGATTCCCTGCTGTTGTCGCTGGTGAAGCTGGACAGACCGAGGCCACCGAGAGTTTCGTGGCTGGACGAGCCTGTCGGGGAATTGCTGCTACTTCTGGCACCGCTCAGTGGCGTCACGTTAGTGCTATCCGCTGGTATCAGACCCTCTTTCATACGCTTTTTCTGTTTCATTCGCCTATTCTGGAACCAGATCTTTACCTGCGTCTCGTTGAGCTGCAGCGCGGACGCGATTTCGATGCGTCTCGCTCGCGTCAGGTACTTATTGAAATGGAACTCCTTCTCGAGCTCGGTGAGCTGCTTATTCGTGAAATTCGTGCGACCGGTGTTATTGAAGCTACCCGGGATCCCGGCCAGCGAGCCGACGATGCAATTCACCGTTCCACTGGCGGCGGTCGCGTACACCGACGAGCTCGCCCCTGCGGTCGCGCCGCTACCGAACTCGACGTTGGGGTTTGCTTTCGTCGCTGAAACAGATTTGTTGTATATTTGCGATAATAATATAATATATTATATTTGCGATAATTGTGCACAGTCCTCATAAGATAGCGAAGTGATTACATGGTCATTGAATATTCAACTTTGCTGGCGCATTTCTTATATCAATTTATAATCAACTTTTCTTCACGGCGAGCTGAACGACTGCAAGCGAAATGTTTCTCTCGACTTTCATGATCAAATTTTATTTTTTGTTGTTTTTTTTTTTAATTTAAAGTAGATCTTATTGCAATGTAATTATAATTTGAGCTTGGCTACTGAAAGGGCAAAAGACTCCGCCGATCACGAATTTTTATCGCTACTGAAGAAAAATTTACTCGGGATACTTTATGTTAGTTAGCAAATGTTAGTCAATTTAGAAACGTTCTGTTCTAAGAGGTATATGAAATATTCGCAGCCAAAATAACTGGCCAAATACGACGGACACGAGCGACTTTCTTATTGAATAAAGACAATTGTGCCGTTTCCAATTTGGACGTAGCCTTCTAAGTGTGTTAGAGCGCGTAACAGACGTGGACGCAATATGTGTCGAATTAAGATCAAGTCAAATCCTTTAAGTGACAGTTTGCCGGCCATAACAGCTGGTCACTACCGTAGGAACAGTTTCAGGGATGACCTGTGCAAAGCTGAACGGACGGTAGGGTTGAGCCCTAAATCTGGATCAAATTGCATCAGCTGTAGGACAAACATCCGAAGTCGTAACGTTGTTGCGCAAAATTTTAATTCTTTTCTTCGCCTCGCCTTGTGTTGCTCTTTGTTAATAATTCGTTATTAATTGCAACAATTTCTTTTCTTTTTTCAACTATTATTCTCACCATCCGCCAAGATAACTTTGACAATTATTCTCTCATCATGTCGCCAAAGTTATCGCGATCTTAATTTTTATTATCCGGCCTTGTGCCGGGTGTCATAACATCGATATAAATTTAGTTTGAGGAATGATGCAATTAAAATATCGCTAAAACAAAAGCAACATGTTTCGGCGGAAGGATGGGGATACATTATGAAAATTACATTGTTATTTAGACCATGGTATGTAGCAGTCAATTTACTTAATGGCAGGGGGCGAACGAAACTGTCAAGCCACCGCCTTAAAGTCACGTCTTCCCCGTTATGTACATTTTCCTTCGATATTTCCACCTTCTCCCTTCGATATTTTTATAATACATTTTCCGTTCAATCTGCTCTAAGAAATTACCTTCCACGGTCGTCTGCAAAAGGCAGTTTATTTCATTCCCATTTATAGTATGCATTATACACATATCTGATGCAAAATACCTATATACATAAAATTTGTACGTGTGTGTGTGTGTGTGAGCGTGGATGAGTGTAGATGTGGGTGTGCGAGACTCTCACGAATTTCCTAATATAAGCGAAAAGATCAGTCACTTATACCAGGAGTCCCGAACTTAGCCTGCGGCCATTAAGCTTACGCTTTTCCAAGCCGAATAATAAACTTGGACAAGTTCTATTAGGCGTGCCAGTGCCAGATACAATGAAATGTTTCTCGTTTCTCGCGACTCATTCATCAATTTAGCACTTTAACAGGGGGACCGGCCACGGTGTCGTTGATTTTCTATACCAACCTTCTTTGGCAACGAGGCGTTGTTTTAATGTGATGCAGAAGAGATATCCTTAAACTTCGATATATCATACGACAGCGTTGTCAATATGTTTGTGCATAAACATTTGTGTAAAAAAGAGAAATTTCCAAAAAATTAAATTTATCAAATGAAGGAAAAAGTCTTTACTCATACATTCACGAATTATATCATAAGTACGAATCGAGTATCTTTGTCCCAATAGTGTATTACCTTAAAGCTCGATGTCATATTGTGTGTAGAAATTAATAGCTATGTAAAGTTCCTAATTCTGGGGAACATTTGCCTCGTGTATATGCGTGATATTGAGAAAGTGGGAAGGAGGAAAGGGTTGGCGTAAAGGGGCGTACCACGAGAGGCCAGGATCCTTAATAACGCTGAGTCAAGGGAGGCGTTGACGCTTCTAATTATCTTCTATAAGGCATGTAGATGCTCCTTCGGAGCCTTTTGCTCTACTATGATTATATCGTTACTACCGAATCCCCTGTAATATCGTATAAGAGGCCTAATCAATCACGGTGAGAGTCGTCGGATAGATTTCTCAAGTGGAGACATTGTGAAAAAATATTTAAAGTAACGTGCAATCTAAGACCACACACACATTATTACATATGGCAATAATATGTATTAAAATATACGGTCTCTATTAAAATAAAAATGCATGCCCTGTGTGCATTTATTGGAATAAAAATTCCCACAGTATGTGGACACCGCGGTGTTTTAATAGGCTATTGAATTAAGTCAAGAAACGATGAATATATATTTATTTAGGAACTTGTGGGAAGCTGGGCGTCGATGCGTATAATCCAGACATTAGATACAAATCAAATACAGCTGAGCCCTCGATATAGCGGTATACTTATGTTTTTCATCGAAGGAGAGAATTTCTACAAATGACGATTCGTTTTATAAAAATCTCGGGTTCACGCTCGTCGAGCAGATTGTGCATTGTATCGACCGCGGAGCCCGGAGAAGAATTCTGTGAATTAGGGAAAGCATCAGCGCGCCCGTATCTGTCCTTCCTGTAACACGATACACTGGCATCCTACGTTCTCCTGTATGCGTTTGCCATCATCCGTTTCTTACGTCATCCGTGAGGCGCCCCCGCAGCTTTTAGCCTTTGAATAATATTTGAATTGCGTAATGTTCCTTGAAGGGGGAGACTGTCGACGCATAAGAACACGCATAAGAGCGGATAATTCTGCGTGATCGAGAGACTGACTTTGCTAGTAGCCGCCGTTTCTTCTTCGCTAGACGTAAAGTAATATCATTATCACAAGTGGGCCCTGAAATTTTCCGCCATTTCTTCTCTGTTCTCGCGTTTCAATATACAACAGTTTTTCTCCTTCTCCTCCACCGTAGGAATTTTGATGAACGGCAATGCGTTAAGTCAGGTGCAATTTAATCGGACGGTATCTCCGAACGAAAGGTCGTACGTTGGCGTGCACACGGTTGGAAACTACACAATTAAGTATCGTATAATCCCGTCACGCAGACGGGACTTACGCGTGTGCGTGCCTCGAGGCATTACGTGTGCGTCTTTTATTTGATATCAAAAATCTCGCAATTTGCTTAAAATCAGCAATTTCGCAAAGTGATACGTATATGAGCTGTAATTGCAACATAATTTCGTGTAACGCATTCATCCAGTGGTACGTTATATCGTCTCTGTTGGGAAGCGAAATCTAGTACCTCAAGTATTATTAATACGCATGTACACGCATGGTATACATTAATAAACAGCGGACGTACTCATTGTATGATTGGCATTGTAGTAGTGCGCACTTTTTTTGTGCAACCGACTACATAACATAATTGTGGAAAGTATGTCAACACTTTTAATGACTTGTAAATTCGTTGCTACTTATACAACGTCATTATAGAGCTCTCTCCTTTATTCGCCGAGTTTATTGTTACTCACTATTATTGAGTATTATCACTGAGATTAATATTGCCGAATATTATCTCTGAATTTCATTGTGTAAGCTTCTCCGTTATGCGTATCCGCAACCCTCTTTCAGCCAAGCGGATGCATATTACATACATATTTACACATGAAAACACGAGAGCAAAAATCGAGATACACAATTTCAACGAGATCCGAATTCGAGGTAGCGCGAAAATCCGAAAAGAGCTAAGAATGACTTGATATTTAGAAACGATATTAGAAACGAGACTGATCTGCGGAGCACGTCGATGAATCAATTTTCCAAATCGTCCGAGCCGGCCGTCTATTCTATCTATCTAGCCGGTTTATCGCATGCGAGAACTGACAAAACGATTTCGCCGGCACAGTTCCTTCCATTCGCAACCCCTTGTCAGTCATCGTCGTGCCCCGTCGCCGGCCGCGTTGATTTCAGCATTATGATAGGTAATATCCTGAGTCACAGTCGAGTACGAAAAGGCAACGTTGTGTACCATAACAGCGTACATAGAAGGGCTGCGTGCAGCACGTTCGACATTCACACTCTCCCTTAGACGTTCGTGTGTATGCATTCGTGAGTATGCCCGAAGCATTTCCCACTGAAATTAAGCCCAGCACGACACCTCGTGGGGGTTGTCGATAAGTTTCACGCGCTTTCTTCGCAACAGCCCGCCTCGAGTTCTGGCACAGGTGCTGTTGTTTTCTCCATGGGTGGCGACGTTAAAAGTTCATCACTCGATAGTCGGGGACGCGAGGCAAAAGAGAGAGAGAGAGGGAGAGGAAGAAAGACAGAGAGAACTCGTCATCCGTCCATATAATTACACGTACCCGTAGAAAATCAATTGGACCGTTCCACGAGCCGGTATTTCAGCTCGGCCGAAAGAAGAGGGAAAAGCTTTTCGTTGGTTCATACTGCGGCGGCGGCGAAAGTAACATGTAAATACCACCGTTGTCTGTAATTGAGCCACGCGGAGGAAGATTACGAACGGCCCTAGCCGACGAAGCAGCGCGGAAATGAAAATCACCATGAGGCGAGACACGTGGGTAGCGTTGGCAGCGGTTGTTGGAGTCCGGCCGAGCGGATCTGTCGGGCCGCGCTTGGACGGCTAGCGTCGCGATGAGGTACGAGGGCAGGAGAGGGTGGGCGCGGAGGAGGAGGGTCAGTTGCTGCCAGGGTTGTTGCGGGATCCGGGGTTGCCGGGTTCGGCGGGTGGCAGCCCGGGTGGAAACACGCGAACGATCCTCTGATCCCCTCGCGAGATATCGGCCACTCACTCACGCGTCCGCCGGCGACCCCAGTGGAGCGGCGCGCAACATGCCCAGCCAGTTGTTCGACTCTACCCACAATCTCTGCCCTCTCTTTCTTTCGAGCGCGCGCTCGACTTTCTTCCTCTTCCTCTTTCAACCCGGGGCATGCCTGCCTCTACCTTCGCCTCTGTCCCGC